CGCCCCCAGCCCGTCACTCGGCACCCTCACCCCGACCACGCCCCCAGCCCCCCAACCACGCCCCCAGCCCGTCACTCAGCACCCTCACCCCGACCACGCCCCCAGCCCCCGACCACGCCCCCAGCCTGTCCCTCGGCACCCTCACCCTGACCACGCCCCCAGCCCGTCACTTGGGGAGTCCGGGCAAGGCCCCACCTTCACCAGGCCTCCAGCCCTTAAGGTCTAGTTTTTTGCTCTTTGGGAAGGACCTCTTCTAAGCTAAGGCTTGGATGGGGGGCGGGGTGCACGAGAACATCCCTGGGGCATGCACCGGAAGCCTGACTCCCACATTGCCCCTGAGAGGCGCACGACTGAGTAGCGTCCGGGCAGAGATGGACACTGGTTAGCAGTGGCACCTGGCACCTCTGAGAAGCGGCCGTGCCTTTCCTGGCCCTCCGTCTGGTTTACCTTGAACTACACAGGCCTGAGACGTGCCGTGGGTAGTCTCGTACCTGCTCCCTTGGTCACCACCACCTTCGGCTTGCTGCGAGCGCCATCGCCTTTCATGGTGTACGCGGCTACTGTGATGGAGTAAGCGGTCTCAGGCTGTAGGTCCGTGATCACCATTTCCTGTGGATGCCGACGGGAGGGGTCAGCAGCGGGCAGGCTCTGCCCACCCTCTCCCCTTAGACAACGGGGAGACATGCCAGAGAGCGCATGCACAGGCCACAGCATGCAGTGCTCACTCCTGCCAACACACACCCCGGGCCACGCTGTCACCACCGGGTCCCCAGCGCCTGTTCTCATGGCAGCAGCCACCAGAGGACTGTGAGCCGTCGTCCCTCTGCCCAAGGCCCTACGGCCCACCAGGCCTGCTCCCCACCTTCTCCCTCAGCTCCCCACAGGGCGTTCTGGGTGCCCCAGGGCCTTTGCATGGCTTGGCCCCCCTCTGAGCCCACTGGATTATTAGAGACGCCCACAACCAACTTGAGGAATTGGCGTTTCACTATCTGGAGTTTGAAAGCCAGTTGTGAAACAGCATCAGACGCTAAGACACACACTATAAACTTAGAGTGGACACAGAGGGCGGAGGAGGCTGCAGAGGTCCCGGGACCGAGGCCCGTGTCACAAACAACCCCAGCAGCAGCCTCACCCTGTGCGGACTGCCCCGCCTGGGGCTCTCCCCATGCAGGGGACGGTGTGATGCCACGCTGGGGTGCAGTGTGTCCCACACCGGGCCCTGTCGGCCCTGGCATACCCCGTCCTGGGACTCTGGGCAGCCTTGGTCACCTCCCATCCTGAGCCCACAGCACAGGCGTCAGCTCTACAGTGGTGACTGACATGTTCTGCACACAAGATGCACACATGTGCGGGGTGCACTCTTGCACGTGTGTGCACACGTGTACACACACACACGCACACACACACGCACGCACGCACGCACGCACGCACACGCACACGCACGGCATGCCTGGCAGCTGAGTCCTCAGGACACAGGAGTGGGGAGGGGACAGAAACACAGGCAGGAGGACAGAGGGCCTCCCCTGGGGCCCGACCAGGTCGGTGGCAACTTCAGACCACAGCCCTTGTCTCCTGTCAACTGGACTGAGAGCAGCCCAGAGACAGGCAGTGCCCTGCCTGAGGACACACAGCAAGTCCACTCTGCTCTGGTGTGGCAGCCTGACAGCTGTCCTTCCCCATCCTGGGTCCATCAGAAGCTACAGAGGTCATGTGGGGGGCACGGGGGAGGAGACCTGGGGACCACAGCGTGCGGACAGCAGGACGGACGGACGCGGAGACTACTCACGTATTCGGCAGTGTCGTCCATCTCCCACTGAGCGGGAGGCGGTGGCAGAGGAGAGAGGAGGCACATGAGAGGGGGGCCGGCCGCAGAGTGGGGAGCAGAGAGGAGACAGTGCCCAGGTACCCCTGCCACCCCGCCGTGCCCGCCCACCTGGGCATCTGCCAGCATGATGTCCTTGATGCGCGGTGGCCCGCGGGCCTCGGCGCCTTCCATGCGTACATAGTGGACCTGGTAGCCGCGGATCTGCCCGTGCTGCCGGCCGGGCGTGGGCGAGCGCCACAGCACTCGGATGGCCGTGGCGTTGAGCGCCTCCGCCTCCACCTTCCGCGGGGGCGCGCTGGGCACTGGCGGGCAGGAGGGGGGCGGCGGGGCTGTTACCGGGGCGCCAGGCCCTGCCCCAGGCCAGGAGACTGGGCAGCTGCTGGCCCAGGAGGGCGTGGCCCCCTCCAACCCCTACGTTCCCAGGACCTGCCGCTGTACAACACAAGGCCCCTTCTTAGTACTTGTCACCTCTGCGGTCTACAGACAGGGGACTGAGGCCTGGGAAACGGAATCCGGGACCCCAGGTGATCCCAGAGCTGGGACGCACTAGGCAGGCAGTCCAAACGCATCGCCCCTAGCCTGCTAGGCTGGCATCTTTTTTCTGTTTGTCATCACTCAGTCTGTCATCAGGTCCAAACCTCCCTCCCCGCACAGGGCACTGACGGCGCTGGTCCCGCGATGCTCGATGCTGGGCACCGAGCCTGCAGCTCACACTAGCCTGTCACATGGCTTTCCTGCTTCAAGCTACCCGGACTCTTAACAGGCCACCGAGGGTGTCTGTTGGTGAAGGTGGCCGCCTGCCTCCAGGCAGGATGACGCAGGGCCACGGAGTCTAAAACTCGGGTTAAGGAGGCCACCTCGGAGGCGGCCCTGGGATGGAGGGCGCCCGGGGCGCAGGGCACCTGTGGCGCGGCCCCCGGAGGTACAGCTCGCTCCTGGCTTCCTGGCTCCCGCTCTGACCCCAGCCCGTGGGCGGGCGCAGCCCTGGGTCCGGCCAGGGCCGGTGCTTACCGTCTTCGTCGGTGCGGACGACCACGGGCGAGCTCTCGGGCCCTGGTCCCACCTCTGTGTAAGCCACGGCGGTGACACGGTACTCCGTCCATTTCTCCAAAGCTTCCAGAAGGATCTGAGTGGTGGTCGGGGGTATGTTGTTCACCTCCTTGGGGTCCGGGTCCTCTGAGCCCAGCGGTCGGTAGCGGACGCTGTAGCCCACCAGGGCCCCGTTGTGAGTTTCTGGCGGTGGCGGGCGCCAACTTACCAATATGGCCGTGGAGCGCAAGCTGGTGCACTTAACGTCTTGAGGGGGGGCTGACGGTTCTATTGGGAAGAGCGTGGGGGCGGGGAGGTGGGATGGGCAGGGAGGGCAGGGACAGAAGATGGGAAAGAGAAAATAAAAAGATGATAACAAAACAGAACGAACCAAAGAGAAATCGAACCCAAAAGAAGCGGGTGTCAATCAAAGGTGAGATGGGTAGTGGGCGGGGCCGGGAGGGCTGGCCAAGAACTGCTGCGCTAGCTGTGGGAAGGTGACTGCCAGGTGCACAGTAGGTCTCCAGCGTGAGACGCGGGTGGCGGTGAAGGCTCTCGCCACTGGGCTCCACTGTATGCCTGAGACCTTCTGTGTGTCATCAGATACCTACTGTGTGTCGTGAATGTAGTACATGCTTCATAGGACAGAGAAAGCAGTTATTGAGCACCTACTCTGTGTATGGCACCACGACAAAGGAAACCACAAGAGAAGCCTCACATCCTGAGGACCTACTGTGTACCAGTGACTTGCCACAGACTTTACATAATAGGAAAGTCATTTTTCCAGACTCCTACTATGTGCCTGGCACCACAAGGGGAATCATACTAAACACCTACTGCTTGCTAGGACACTTCTCATGTCCTTCTGAGAATGGCAGACGCCTATTTCTTGCATACCTACTGCGGGCCAAGCACATGCAGGGCACTCCATATAGTAATACACAAAGGGTGTACTCAGCCGGGCACTGCTATGTGCCAGGCACCATGACAGGACTGCAACTGAAGCTCCAACAACGGAGGACCTACTATGCTCCAGGTACCCCATAAGGGCTTCAAAGAATGGGAGCAAAATCACCTACTACCTCCATACCTACTATGTGCCAGGTACCATGCCAAGTGGGGAGAAGGTACATATTACGTGCAAGGTGTCTGACAAGGGCCTCACAGAGTAAGATGTGCTGTGTTGACGGTCTACTAGGTGCTGGGTATTGGCCAAGGGGATTAGCAATCAGCAGGGTCCTACTATGCTCAAGATATCACACCCAGGTGTCTTAGACAACAGCAGATTCACTTATTCCTTGAACACCTATTGCATGCCTTGCATGGTGCTGAAGTATTTTAGGGTTAAAAAATACAGTGGCTAAATATTCTTAGGTTTCATCTATTACTTGAGCCCTGAGGCCATCCCAACACCAGCTCCAGACATCACTGTCCTCTTGGCCTTGCTCAAAAATGGGTGTCCTGAGCACCTAATGTGTGCCTGGTTACATGCCAGGTGCTTTACAAAGTAATAACAGAGGTGCTGAACATATCCTATGAGACATGTACTATGTGCTGGGCACTGGGCCAAGTCCCTGAACATCAAACACCCACTGTGTGCCAGGGCGCCAGGCCAGCAGCCCTTACATGGTAAGCACTCCCCTAGGTGGTAGGTATTGTGCATTGGTTATACATCAGAAAGTCAGACTGCAGAAAGTAAATCACCTACTGTGTGCCACACTGTGCCAGGGGCTCTGCTGAAAAGAAGGCTCCATGCTTTATTCACCCACTGTGTGTGAGGCCCTGGACCGCGGACTCTGTACAGAGTATCAAGAACTCTTACATATTAAGCACCTACTGTGAGCTGGGCACTGAGCTAATGTATCAAATACCTACAGTGTGTCAAGCACTGGGCTAGTCATATCCATACATTAAACACTTACTGTATGCTAGGCACTGACTGGGCTAACAGTGACCACACATTAAATTCCTACTATGTGTCATGTATTATGCCAGAGGCTTTACTGAGAAACAGGAACAATCTACACATGGTAAATACCTACTATGTGGGCACTGGACCAACAGCTCACACAAATTAAACACCCACTGTATGCCAGACATTGGAGTAATTGTCTCCATATATTAAATGCACTGGGCTATTTTTACCCTGTGAAACATGAAGAACTCTCATCTATTAGGCACCTACTGCATGTCAGGTACTATTAGGAGCTTTAGCTTAAGCACCTATGGTGTGCCAGTGCAGGTGGTAGGGACTCTAGCGTCCACATATGAAGCACCTACTGTGTGTCAGGTGTGTCAGTCCAGGTGGTAGGGACTCTAGCGTCCACATACGAAGCACCTACTGTGTGTCAGGTGTGTCAGTCCAGGTGGTAGGGACTCTAGCGTCCACATACGAAGCACCTACTGTGTGTCAAGTGTGCCAGTGCAGGTGGTAGGGACTCTAGCGTCCACATACGAAGCACCTACTACTGTGTGTCAGGTGTCATGATCTGACACTAGAATGGCTGCAGTGCCAGGACCTTGGAGGAACTGTTCTGAGCAAACCCTGAGCCACAAAGTCCCTTTCCAGACTAACAAGGTACAGATATGAGCACCTGCTGTGTGTCAGACACCAGGCCAACTTCCTTACAGCAAGTGGGCCTAAGTGCTTACTGTAGACACAGAGTCTTGTAGGACTGTCAGAGCCCCATGTGCTAGGGACCTACTGTGCATCCAGCAGCAGATTTAGCTGGTCTCCAATGGTTGATGGCTTTCATTTTGATTATGTCCTGATCTGTATTTAAACTTCAGATAACCCTTAAGGAGCACCTACTATCTGTTGGGCAGGTCATCAGGACTTTGCTCTCAATGGCGTGCCTACTGTATACATCAAGGGCCCTGGGGAACATTTGTAGCCCTACTATGGGCCAGAGGCTAAACTGTGGAAATTACTGATAATATATGCCCTGTACCTACTGTGCAGCCAGCACCCGATGCCTTTTTGGGGCTTGAAATGGGTCCTGACATTGGCTCTCGGTGGCCTGGTCTGCTGGACATAGGGGAGGCTCCGACACAGGACCCACAGACACTCAGTCATCACTCCTGAACCCTGCCTCAGGCCACAGACAGGAAACCCAGCTCCAAAGCCCACTGATCTGGCTGCTGGGATTGACTGCACACCTACTAGGTGTCAGACTCCACTCTGTGTACTTATGCATTAGCTCTGAATGCCCCTGGAAACCCAGGGCAGATCTCATGTTGCAGGCAGTGAAACAGTCTCAGCAAGAACAGGTACCGCCCGCCTCAGAGCCCATCAGAGCAGGTTCAGATTCAGGCTCAGCTGTCAGTTATGGTGGTCTGGCTGCAGACCACAGACCTCAGCCTGTGCAGGTGGCAGGTAGGCGGCTCACGGACCTGCACCTGCCGGCATCTGCTCTGGCTCGCTGGGCGGGTCACCTGCCATACCTAAGTCTGGCTTCTAGTCAGTGATGCTGCGTGCGTCCCTGACCTTCCACGCTGGGACCTAGAATCAAACACTGCTGCGTCCTCAAAGATGGTGGCTGCTGTGGGCCCGGGAATGACCTCCAGCCCCCTTCCTGAGCACTGGACGGCAGCCATGGGATGGAGCAGGGTCCATTTCTTGACCAGTCACCCCAATCCAAAGTGCCCGGGGTGGGGGGGTGGGGAGTCAAGCAGGGGTGATGGAAACAAAATAAGCCGCTGGGGGATGTGCTGGAAGGGTACTTCCGCTGTGAACAGGAGGAAGGTAAGGCGATAAAACCAAACCGAAATAATAAAACAAGGAGTGAGGGTGATGGTGGCGATGATGGAAAAAATCATAAAAGAAAGACAGACAGACAGACAGACGCCTCGCAGAGACGCCTGGTCTTTACCTACCTTCCACTTCTTCAAGCGCTAACTTAACAGACTTTCTTACGAGAGGGAGCGGCGCCGGTACAAGGCTATGAGCTCAGTGGCCCATGGCCGGGAGAGACTCTCTGCAGCTCCCGGCCGGCCGGCCGGCGGGGAACGGCGGGGTCTGGGGACACCCGCAGTGGCCAGCAGGCAGACCTGCACCTACCCTTGGCAGGGCCTAATGAGCCCACAGCCCCGGGGACACGCCTGGCCCTGGGTCTCGGGGTGAGAAGTGGGGAGCTTGCTCCCCCACTCCCTGTCCGGGGCCGCCCTGGAACGCACATGGCTGGGCCGAAGACGCTTTCTGGGTGACCTCGGAGGTCACGACCTTCACAATCCAGCCCAACCTGCATGGTGTCTCAGGAGGGGACATGTTTGTGTGGTACCCAGTTGGGGTTCTTTGGAGGTTCCTCTGGGCCACGTGTGTGGCCCAGGGCAGACAGGGGACACGCAGGGTGGGCTGTGTTTGTGAGTCGCTTGAGACCGGCTGATACTCACCTGTGGGCCACCTCTACCGGCCGCTCGGTGGCTCCAGGCCACAGGCCACCCTCACTGACCTCCACCTGGCAAGCACCACCTCAGAGCCACCTGGGGCTCAGCGAAGGGGTGGGGGAGCAGGCTGGCGGGGGACCGGGTCTCCGTGGCCCATGCCCTCAGAGAAACCCTGGCCCAAGTCTACATCACCCTTGAGGGACCCGAGTCCCATGTGCACACACGTGTGGGTGAGGGCCACCACAGTGCAGAAGCTTCCGGAACCACATTTGGTGGCCACACGTGACTGGCTGGGGGGCAGGGGAGGTGCAGGGAGCCACAGCGGCAGAGGCTGCACCGGCCAAGCTGAGCAGAGCAGGCAGGGTGAGGCGGCCCCAAGGGGCCGTGAGGGCTGAGCCGAGCGGTGGGAACGGTGGGGGACATTAGGGCCACCATGTGGCCCGGAGACGGCAACCTAGTGACAGGGGACTCATCTGTGACGGGACTGGGCAGGCACAGCAGACTGCTTTAGGGACCCGGGACCCTGTGTCAGGCCCACACGTGCCCCCCCCCCCCCACTGATATGGCTGAACAACTGGGCCACAGGAGACCCTGTCTTGAGGCTTCGAGAGCCATGTCCCCTATGAGGTGAGAAGAGCTGAGGGGGACCTGACAGTCATCCTGGGCCTTCGGGGAGGACAGCCTTGGGGCCCTGTAGGGACGTTCTGGGGACAGGACCGGTTCCATGTCCAGGGAGAGTAGGAGGAACCAGTGGCTGGGTGGCCATTCAGTGCTGGTTTCACCTCCATGGGGAGACCCGCCCTGCTCTGGGGAAACTGAGGCACGGCAGGCAGACATGGCCAAGGCTGAGGCAGGCCAGGCGGGAGGCACCCCCGCCCCCACCCAGGGGCTCTGGCCGTGTCAGTGGCCACTGCGGCCCCCCTCCCCAAGGACAAGGCGCCAAGAGACACGTACTGGCCTGCAGCGTGCGCTGGCGCACGACCGCGGTGAAGGCGCCCAGGCCCTGCGGCGAGCGCGCCGCCAGCCGGAACGCATACTCCGTGTTGGGCTTGAGGTCCTCCACCACAAAGGCCGTGGTTGGGTCGAAGGTGCGGCCCACCTGAGAATGGGGGGTGGGAGTGGGTGGAGGGACGCAGGGCGGGGGGGGGCAGTGGTGATGCAGGGAGACAGAGTCCATGAGAAGTGGGGGGCGGAGAGGGAAAGTGAGGGACACGCGGGAGAGAGGCGAGGTGGGCAGAGTGGGCAGGAGAGATGGAGAGGCAGGGGTGAGTGAGGAGCCAGTGCTGACCGGAGGCCACGGAGGCCCGTGTGGGTGGCCCACCCCAGCTGTCCCCTCCCAACCACCCGGCCCAGGTACCTCTCGGCCGCGGTCGCCCTCCCGGAAGAGCAGTTCATACTTAATGACACTCTCCTGCCTCGGAGCGCTCCACGAGAGCCCGATGCTCGTCTCTGACTTGGCCTCTGCCCGCAGGTTCATGGGCTGGCCAGGCACTGGGGGGAAGCAGGAGGGAGGGGAAGGTGGGGAAGCCGGTCTCCACAGGCTACCTGACTCACCGGGGAACTCCAACCCCAAACCAGGCTCCCAACACTGCTGCCCGGCCCGGGATGCTTCCACAACCAGCCACGGTTTGCATTCCCCTGAGTGCCCACGCCCTGGAGTCACCTCCCACCCTTCTCTTCCAGCAGGGGGAACACTGCTCGGGACTTGCCACCCTTTCTAATTACTGCAGGGAAAGGACAAATGGAAATTGCCTGGGGCTGGGCGTTTATTTTCACCCATTCTTTTTATTTTGACAGAGTCTCACTGTGTAGTCCAGGCTAGCATGGCATTTGCTGGGTAGACCAGGTTGGCCTCAAACTACCACGGACCTGCCTGCCTCTGCCCCCTCCCTCCGTGGTGGGGTTCAAGTTGTGCATCACTTATGTCTGGAAAGGGACACACTGTGGTGACAGCGTGTGGGGGAGGGGGCGGCTGGCAGTTAGCGATAAACAGATGAGCCGGCCTCCGGGAAGCCGGGCGCTCAGATCCCGTCCTTTTTGACTCCAACACAAACCCCTGGCAGGTGTGTGGGGACCTGCTCCCCAGACCTCACCTCCCTGCTGCGTCTTGACCTGGATGGGGTCTGACAGCGGCCCATCGCCCACGGAGGTAAAGGCGAGCACGCGTACGGTGTAGGTCTCGTCCTCCAGCAGACTGCCCACGGTGGTCAGCAGGCTGTCGTCCACGTTGTGTTTCTGCCAATTGCCCACCGGGTGCTCGGGCTCCATGGTGTAGTAGACGCGGTAGCCGCGGATCAGACCGTTAGGCTCCACCGGCTCCTCCCACTGCACAATCATGGTGGTCGCGCTGAGCATGCGTGCCTGAACGTTCCTGGGAGCGCTGGCCGGCGCCTGCTCGCCTGTGCGGGTCACCACTGACTCGCTGGGGGGGCCTTGGCCGATGGAGTTGACAGCCGACACCCAGATCTCATACTCGGAATTGGGGCTCAGGCCCCCGATGCTGTAACGTGTGGTGGTGATGTCCTCCTTGATCTGATACGGTCCGTCCTGGCTTTTGGACTTATACTCAATTACGTAGTAGGACACAGGGTCGGGGTTGCCTGAGTCCCAGGTGACCGTGATACTGGTGGCCGTGTTTTCTGTCACCACGGGAGTCCCAGGGGCTTTGGGGAGAGCTGCAGGAGGGAGGGAGGGAGGATGACTCGAGACCACACACCCATCTGAGCTCAGCGTCCTCAGCAAATACACAAGCCTGATAACCCCGCCCATCGCATCTCATCACTCGTGTTTTCAAAGTTTTAAGTAAAGCTTTATTAGAGCATAACAACCCTGTAAATGGCTGACTTTCACACAACCATGTCAGAGGAGTGGACACGGTAGAAACTAAAAGTTAATGTAAGGTTAAAAGATATTTACTTCAAAAAATAAAATCACAGGGCCTCAGGTAACCCAGGCTAGCCTTGACCTCACTATGTAGCTGAGGATGGCTTTGCACTGACCCTCTGCCCCACCTCCTGAGTGCCAGGGTAGTGGGCATGGGCCACCAGGACAGCATTTACAGGATGTGTCATGGAGCTTACCTGCCATCCCAGGATTTGAGAGGCGGAGGCAGGAGGATGGTAATTCAGGCCAGCCTGGGTTACACAGTAAGACCCTGTCCTGCCCCCAGTCTGTGGAAACAGAAGATGTTTACAGAGGAGCTGTGTCTCTCGTTAGGAGCTGTGTGTGGCTTTGCCTTCTCCCTGTGGGCCACTCTTTCAGGAGTTCCCCTCCACACTTTCGTCCCCACAATTTTGTCCCTACACAGACGTGGCTCCTGCCCTCCCCGGCTTTTGCTCACATCATGACACCCACTCCTGTCATCTCCACCTGTTTTCCCACCAGCTGGGGTTCATATCCAACCTTTTTTTTTTTTTTTTTGAGCTGAGGACCGAACCCATGCCGTACAGCTTCGATGCCATACGGCCGTGAGATACAAGCAAACATTGATGCCACTTCAAAACACCTCACTTCATCTAAGTGGAGGGCCGGCATTCACAAGCCCTCAGGCTTGGGCCTCAATTTTCACTGAGAACTCAAGCCACCGGGGTCTTGGGTCCCCTCCCAGGTCCAGGGTCTTGGCACAGGCTGCCCCCCCCCCCAGTGTCTGAACCACCTGTTTAACCCCCGACTCCCACCTCACCGACCCCTCCCCAGACCTGACCCTGCTGGGAAACGAGAGCTTCACCCTGGGGTTCCCACGCTTGCTGTGCAGGCCCAAGTTGGCCTCAAATCCTCCGACCCTCCTGCCTCAGTTCTGAAGGCCTGGGGTCATCCCCAGCATGAGTCCCACACCCGCTAGCCAGGCACAGGCTGCTTCTCAGCCCCGCCCACCCTGGTGTCAGGGTCAGGGATGTGTCACGTCCATGGCACCCCCTGCTGTGGACCCAACTTACATTTTACAGTGATCTGAGCCACCGCCTCGATCACACCCAGGCTGGACATGGCCACACACGTGTAGTTGGCTGAGTCCTTCACATCCGTGAGTTCTAGAACATTCCGGCCCACGGGCATGTCATCCTCGGGCGTCAGGTCCTCGGCACCCTGCATCCACTTCACGTAGGGCATGGGTGAACCCACAGCCACACAGGTGATATTCACGTTCCCACCGGGCATGATCTCGTGGCTCATGGGCAAGATGGAGAAGCGGGGTGCCACACGGCGGACTGGGGGCGCAGGCGGCGGTTTTGGCAGGAGAGTGAGGAAAGGACAGGATGAGGAGGAGGAGGAAAGAGAAAAAAGGGGGAAAAGGGTAGAAAACCATTTAAATATAAACAGGGCCACTACAGTCCCCAGGTCGTTCATTCCCCAAAATGAAAACAGAACAACAACAAAAAAAAATTAAACCAAACATATTATAAAAACAAATTCCAACACAAAGGAAACTTCAAAGGTAGGAACTTCACAAACAATATAGAGCTACCGAGAGTGAGACAGGAAGCGTTATCTCATAGCAACAGGGTTTCCCCGACCAGCAGCTGCTGGCCGCAGCACAGAGGTACACACAAAAATTTATCGGCAGTTTCTCATCTTTGTGGAGAGATGTGGCTCCAGTGGGAGGCCTCCCGTGAGGCCGCCTGAGAAGGGGCAACTACCATGGAAGGTTCTAGAAGGTTCTGGTGCCGAGTGCTGGGGTTGGGGGACACACACTGGAGTTGCAGGGGTGAGGCCTGCCACCCTCCTGGGGACGAGGACAGAACCTGATCGTGAAAGGTCAGAGCCTGGGAGGTCAGAGGACCAGGGAACCCCATGGCCTTCTGATCCGATCCCCAAGGGAAAGATGAGAAAAATGCTAATGAAATTTTTGTGGTTTTGGGGTGTTAGAAACCCTCCTAAAGCTTGAAGCTTCTGTCGGATTGGACAAGTTTCCGTCAATAGATGCAGCTCTCAAAAATCACAAACATCATGCAGAAGAGATAGATAGACAGATAGATAGATAGACAGATAGATAGATAGACAGACAGAAGGGAGAGGGGGGGGATGATGAAAGGAGGGTGTGGATCTCAGGATGGTGGGAGAAAGCAGAGAGGAGAGAGAGAGAGAGAGAGAGAGAGAGAGAGAGAGAAGGAGAGAGAGAGAGAGAGAAGGATGGGGACAGGGACAGAGAGACAGGGGAAGGACCCACTTCAGTGCTGCATGGTACTCTAGCAGATGTGACGCAATGTGACTGGCCACATTGCCACATCAGCCCTGGCAGAACCATAAATAGGATATTTAATAATAACTCATAATTGAGAATTCTTAACAGTAAGGAGCCGATGAGCTGGAACGTTGGGGACAGGGCATGTTCGCTGCGTTCCTAGAGGGTGGGGATGGATGCCACCTTCTGCAGGGGCCTCTTGGGCTTGGAAGGCAGCAGGACATTTCCAGGGCTCCGTTTTCGGAAGCTGGGTGGGCTCTGAGGTGGGTGTGGGACACTCACAGGGACCCGAGCTTCAAAGAGTAGCCTCCTCCCAGGGGTGAGGCTCGGAGTGACACCCAGCCAGAGCCCAAGGAAGTCAAGGAGTGAAAGCTGAGGTGTGTGGAGACTCTCTGACAAGCTGAGTCCCAACCTAGGAGGACATGTGAAGGCCATCAGCACGCCTCTGTCACACAGTTCTTGGCGCACAGCCTGAGGGCACTTGCCAGTAACCGCTGTTAGAGGGTTAACCTGCTCTACTGATGGGGAGAAGCCAGCCTGTGCTGTTCCTTCCAGCCTGGCCCTTCAGGTGGACACCCCAGGTTGTTTCCAGAATCCAGGTGGAAGTCAAAGGAGACAGGGACAGGGGTGCCACTGAGATGGGAGTGAAGGTCTGCGGGCTGGAGCCCTTCAGAAAACGTAGCCCCACAAAAAGTCCAGAGTCATGGAGGACACGGGATGGAGGGGAGGGGTAGGGAAGACATGGGGCCATGCAGGCTGGAGGGGGGAGGCGGGGCAGGGATGGGGGCACCGTTCCGACAGGGCTGGGTGGAGGGTGAGGAGCAGGGGTGGCGGCACCGGGGTCCAGCCGGCCACCTGCTGCCAGCATCCACAGCGAGGCTCAGGGTGGGAGATGCTGAGGCTGCGTTGTCATGGAAACGGAATGAGTGGGAATGAGTGTGGAGAGGCTAATTAATCCAGGACAGAAAACGGCATTTGACGTCCAAACCAAAACCAGGAGGCGGTGGGGGAGGCAACAAATTTCAAAAAAAAAAAAAAAAAAAAAGCAAAAACAGAAACCTAAAGACCAAACAAAAGTGCCTGAAAGGAACAACACTCCAAGCAAGAAGAAACATGGAATGGGTGTGGGGCTGAAAATCGGGGTCTGAACAGAGGAGGGCTGTGGCTGCCCCAGGGAGATGCCCGGGTCCCTCCCCGCCAGCAGAACACAGCATCCGGCCTCCCCACCCAGCACCCAGGGGCCTCGGCTGGGCAGAGAGGCACCCAAGGGGCGAGAGCCCCCAGAGAAGGCTTCCTCAGGGCAGACCAACCCAGGCCCAGAACCCCATCTCTCTAGACCCCTGAACCTCACTCAGGGCACCGTACACTAGAACCCAGAGGCAGAGGCCGCCGCTGCCGCCGCCGCCGGTCTAAATCCCCCGTGTATCAGCAGAGGTGACCTGCAGGGAATGGCCTCTGAGGGGACAGAGCCCGCGAGGGCGCCCAACCCAGGAAGGTGGCTGCCGATATTGTTGTCCAGGCCCCCAGTGACAAGAGATTCAATTGGTTACCTATTATCACTCATGGCTGCCATCGATCACCCCAGCAGCTGTCACCTATCTGCTATCTCAGTCAGTCAACAGCCATCTGTTGAGACAGGTCTTGCTCTATAGTCCAGGCTGCTGGCCTATCTCAAGGCAATGGGTCAGCCTCTGCTCAGATGTGCACTTTACGACTGCCTGTGAGCCGGACACTGGAACTGGAGGTCTTTGTTGCACATCTGCCTCATTGGATCCCATTCAACAAGCCCAGTTTGCAGAGGAGACAGCAGGTCAGAGGTGACGAAGCTAATGAGAATGAGCAGTTGCCGCCCTCAAAGCCTGATAAACTCTGCCCCTCGCACACGACCGGCAAGGACAGCTGAATGTCCCGTTCTCACTATCTGGGTCCTGTTAAACGTGCGTCTTTACTGGAGACTCAGAAGAGGGCAAAAGCCCTCAGTTAAGTGAGCCGTGGGCCTGGCCAAGGGGTATCTGTCACACGCAGGAGGCTCCTATGCAAATGTGTGGAACCCCAAAGGGGCAGAGCCCAGAGCTTACAGGGCTCACTTCTGTCCTCAAAAAGGAGATGTCTGTTCCGGAGACCTTGCTCATTCCTGACCCGACTTTAGTTTATGTTGAGGGCACTGCTGTGTGGAAAAGACCTCAGCTTCCAGAATACAGAAGCCACAGGCAACCTGAATATAGAGTTTTCATCCAGGGCTGTGACTGCGGCCATTAAATGCTGGATAGAACACAAGAACACAAGGACACGTCCACTGTCCCTGATGTGGCTAGCCACTGTCCGCTGGATGGCCAGTGGCTATCAGCTAAATGGTCAGCCTCTATAGGTTAACCGGCCAGCCTCTATAGGTTAAATGGCCAACTGCTATAGGTTAAATGGCCAGCCTCTATAGGTTAAATGGCCAGCCTCTATAGGTTAAATGGCCAACTGCTATAGGTTAAATGGCCAACTGCTATAGGTTAAATGGCCAACTGCTATAGGTTAAATGGCCAGCTCCTGCCGGTTCAATGGCCGGCGGCTCTCAGGTGAACGGCAGCCACTATCAGTGGACAGCCCCATCATTACGTGGACGTGTCAATCGGCTGCGAAGGTGTCTGGGGCAGTCACGCCACGCTGCCCACTGGCCCCACGGCCCGTGTGGGTTCCTATGTCCTTCAGGAAGTGGGTTGGTGTGCCAGAGTCTGCGGGGAAGGTGCTGTGGGCTCTGATCCTCTCCGTGCACCTTTCCGCCCGTGGGGTGGTGGCTGATGCTGTGTTCTGCCCAGTTCTGGGCCGTCGCCCGCCCACCTTGTTCCTCCACCCCTTGGCTGCAGGCTTGAGGTGCACGTTAGGATATAAAGTGGGCACAGAGCCCACGGGACGGACAGGCCCCACAGGACCCCCGCCCCAAATTACCGACCTGAAAGGAGGGTCCAGGCGGGTTATAAGGGGCAACACCAGCCTTGGTCCTCGGCACGCTCCAGCTGGCTCTGGTCCCCAGCGCTTCTGGTCACCGAGTAGCCGGGAGGGTCCCAGCAGGGGGAACCCGCGTGGGCGAGTGGGGTCAGGAGGGTGGGGTGGCAGGGGTGGGGGTGGTGGTGGCAGGTCAGGAGGGGATGGTCGCTTCAAACCCCGATTCACATGGCAAAAAAACAAAAATCAAACCAACTGAAAAACCATCAAAGCAACCAGAAGACAGCCCCTCCCCCAGGCAGGAAGAGAGGCAGAAACCAAAACTCAAAAGTGGGGTTTTGAGGGTGAGGGGTGGGTGGGCAGGGACAGGAGGGGTGAGTGGGGAAGAAAACTCAAAACAGTGAGGTGATCTGGTTGAAGCGCTAGGTAAGGGGTCCGACAGTGTCACATGATTAACATCAAGCAAGCTGCAGGTGGGGAGGGGGGTCTATGGGGCATTTTGGGGTGAGAGAAAAACGTGGCTGGTTCTCTGAACTCCAAAATGGATATGTGGATGGGAGCTGGGGGGTGGGGTGCCGAGGGCTTGTGCAGCCTCCAGGGTGGGGGGTGAGTTAAGCTTAGATTACACCTGTCACGGACGGGAGGGGCAGAGGCCCAAGTCAGAGCTCATCTCCCTCCCCTCCCCTCCCCCCTCACTATCCTGAGACCCTCCCCGCCTGCCTCCCTGTCCGCCACCAGCTCCCTTGGCCATGAGGCTGCCCCACGAAGGCCCGGAGGGCCCTGAGCCGTGGCTGTGGCAGGCTGCTGGGTCTATTCTCCACTATAGATCACTTCCCAGCTGTCCCATGGGGGACCCAGTCTCAGCCTCTTCGCTCCCTCACATTTTTGCCAAGTGACGGCCCCATCGCCACCCACCACTGTGGCCGTGGGACACTGTGGCTTCTCCCAAGGACCAGGTGTAATCTAATGTCCGTCCCACCCGGCCCACAGGGACACAGATGCAGGGGTGAGGCAGGCAGCAGGCCACATGTCAGTCAGTGCTCAGTGTTCCTGTGGGGCAGCCCCTGCGCCCCCACCAGACCCCGCTGGAGTCTCCCCACCCTGAGACCCGACAGGACGATGGGGACGGTGTACCCTCACCTCCCCGGTCAGGGGCCATCGGAATGGGGAGCTGGCCAACAGACCCCACAGAAGCACCGGGGAGACATGAGAAGTGAGAGGGGTGCCAGGCCCCATTATCCCCAGCCCCACTCTGGGGATGGAGGGACCTAGAAGGCAAATGCCAGGACATGGGTGCGGCCTCACCAACGGCCAACGCGTCTCCCCGGGCAACAGGAACAGAGCAGGTCAGCCCGAGGGCCGAGCAGGGACTGGGCAGCCTGGATGTGCACCATCTCAAGTCCCTTGTAGGTGGGAGGCTGCCCTCTGCAGCAGGTGGGGAGGTGCCATTAGCTGGATTAGGTGCATCGTGGTCCAGTGATGCTGCACCCCGATGGGTGCCTATGGGTGCCATCTTTTCGGTTAAACTGAGAACCTGTTAAAGGCTCACAGCTTTAAATTACTGATGAGGAAAATGTGAACAGCCTGCAATGACGCCATCTGTCTGTCTCCTGGCACTGTCTTTCCTCAGGGAAACCCCAGAGAGGTGCAGAATGTGTACTCAAAAATAGTCGGATATAGGGCTCTGGCCATTTAGTCCTCAGAGGTCAAGGACTGGACAGCTCCTGGGCTCCCTCAGCATCAGTGAGCCTGCCACTTAGGGGGGGTGGCTGGGGCTCTGTCACTCTGCAGGCCTCGCAGGCCAGCTGTTCTCCTGGTGGCTACTTCTGTGCCAGGGACCTTGTCTCTCCAGGCTCCCTTGTCTGCCTCTTGGGCCCCAGGACTTCCTCAGAGAAAGTCACAGGGGGAAAATGACATCAGTGGCCCCAGAGGAGCCGCCTGCCCGCAGTGGACAGGGCTGGGGAAACCACCAGTGAAGACCATACAGCCCCGGGCTAGCGGATTGGCTTCTGCACTGGGATGCTCTCTGAGGCAGCCCCCACAGGCTGCAGCCAGGCAAGTCTCACCACGGTCCCTTAAGCTGTCACATTTAAACAGAGGGCATGGGGGGCACCTGACCACCTACAGCTGGAGGGGGGCCCTTCCTCCCCGCCTTTCAACTCCTGTGAGTACCCGGGTTCTTCTCCACCCAGGGCACACGACGCCGTTGGCTCTTAGAGCCAGCAAGCAATCAGGAACTTCACAGTTCCCATGAGGACCAGGAACCCTAAGAAGTCACAGGAACAGCCAAGGGCACACATGTGGACATCAGCACCTGCCTCGGGCTGGACGGCACTGCGCACCAACCCCAGGTGGCCCTCAGGGGTCCCTGTCACCCAAGTACAGTGTGCCAGGACCTGCTTTGCCAGGGCTCAGGCTGAGAGCAGGAGCAACAAGTCCCTTCCTGAGACATCTAGACCTTTGCTGACAGCGCTTTGGATGTAATAAGCTGCAGGCAGAGAGGAGGCTGGAGAGAGGGTGACCTGGGGGTGGGTGGGCTTGGTCCTCAGCTGGAGAGTGAATTGGGCATGAAAGGGGTTTTATTATTGTGGATAGGACAGACAGTGGATGTGTGGATCTCAGAAGAACGAGAGAGAGCAAGAGAGAGCTAAGAGAGAGAAGGAAAAACGGAATTTAGAAAGAGGGAGGGGCAGACAAAAGGGGAGGGAGAGAGTGGAGGAAAAGAGAGAGTGGGGAGCGGCCACGCCCCAAATGCCCCTGGTCTTCTCGGGAATCCCACAGCCCTGATGCTTGGGTGACCAGAAGTGACCACGCTGAGGGACCGCACACCCGTGGCTGCACCCAGAGCCTGAGAGGAGGGAGCAGCGGCTAGCACTGCCCTGGAGGCAGAGGCGCGCGCTGGCCAGGGATTCTCCGAAAGTCTGTCCCGTTACCTCCCCGCCCCCCACCCCACGGGCAGTTCCAGATGAGCCCAGCCGGCACGCGTGAAGCCACTGCCGGTCACTCTGCACTTTCCGCCAAGTGCTCCAGACTCTGGTGCTGCAGCTGGCCGATCTTCCGGGCTGGCCGATACTGAGCGGGACTCGGGCACCGGCGGCCCTTGGCTGCATTCTTTGGGAGAGCAGGGCGTTAAATATCCTGAGGCAGGAGGATGGGAAATGCCCTTGGGGATGTCCTTCTGCCAGCCGTCCGGAGGGAACGGGAAACGTCAACCAGAAGCCAGGTGACCCGGGCACCCCCACTCCTGCCCGTCCTGTGGTGCCTACGTGGTCACTTTTCATCGAAGCATCCCAGCTGTGGGACCCCTTCCGCCCTCTGGGTGACAGCTGGGACAGGAACACTGGCTTTGAACTCACAATGCGTTTGGTAACAACCACAACAGCTCAGGCCAAGGAAACCAAAACCAAACAGCACAAAACAAGACAGAACCAAAGACATCGCTTTGGGGGAGAAGGGCGTCCAGTGAAGGGAGGCAGAGCGGAGGAGGGGGCAATTGATCCCCCCAAAACGAAACTTAAAAAAAAGTTTAAAAAAATAAAAAAATTAAGAAACCAGGAAAACAAAACGAACAGGACAAACACTCCAACAGAAGGCCGGGGTCCACCAAACTGACGGGAGTGGCATGCAGAGAAATTTTTTTTTTTTTACATTCTCCCAGCATGCATCAGGCCCAAGTTACCATGACGACGAGGAGTGCAAAAAACTTAGCAACAACATTACCAAGGGATGCAGAGGCGACCACAATGCAAGCATCGCGTGTGCCGGCCGCGCCGGCGGCCGACATTACGTCTGTGTGTCTTTCTGGGTTGTTTGCTTTAGGCTCGGTACCTCATTCCACTTTACGTCTGTTTTGCTATTCGTTTTCCGTGTGCGTGTGTGCGTGTGTCTGCGCGGTGTCTGCGTGTGCTTCTTGTGTGTGAGCACGTGTCAGCTGTTATTATTTTTTTTTCAGAATGTAAAAATGTGGGTAAAGAAAGTAAAAAAGAAAAAAACCACACCAACCTTCTCGAAGCTCTGAGGGATGTAAAGGGGGTTTGATGCGCACAATGACATGGGGAGAAGAGAAAAAATAGGGGAGATACAGAGAGTAAAAAGAGGACTTCCCACGGCTAAAGCTGCAATCGTTTGCTCTTTTTTCTTTAAACCAAAAAAATAAAAAAAATTAAAATCAAAAAAGGAAAAAGAACATAAAGCTCCCTGTCTTGGCTCAGCGCCGAGCACAGCCGGCAGGGCCGACCAGCTCTCCCGACCCTCACCTGCCCCCAGGGCGGGGCGGCCGGGACACACAGGGCCCTCCTCCCTCCTCACACCCTCACTAAGGGCTCCACCCTCCCCGCTCCACCCCTGCCGTCCCCTCTTTTCTGAACCAGACTCACAACCCCCCATCCCCAGTGTCCACGAAGACACACACAAGTTAGATGAAGACCGGTCGCTAGAGTCCTGCAGGGACCACAACTCACCGGGTGCCGGGGTGGCAGAAGATCAGACTGGCCCCCCTCCCATCCACTTGCACCCTCCCGCCACACGGCCTCCTGCTTGGAGCCAAGATGTAAAACCCACAGCCAGGACCCAAAGGAGCTGACTAGGGGCTGAGGAAGGCAAGGGCTGGGGGGGAAGGACAGCCTGCCGGCCTCCCTGGGTGGAAAGGGATGAAGGCCAGGGGCGCTGCAGGGAAACTGAGGCTGGGGGAGGAAGGTGAGCAGGTCAACTGATACAAGCGATGGGCGTCCCCGGAGTAGCCGCGGGACATGGAGGAGGGCGCACCAAGGGTCCTGCGGGAAGCCCCCTGGGGGCGGAGGCATGGGGAGGCGGCTGCCAAGGACCCCAGGCTTCCAGCCACAACTGAGCGAGCCTGGGATTCTGAGACCCACATGGGGTCCCAAGGGCTGGGCAGCATGTCTCGCCACCAAGCCCCAGGCACGGGTGAGAGCCGTGGCCCTGGCCTCCCACCGTCTGGGTTTATTCCTTCTAGAGCGAGCACTGGGTTCTGGACGCCAGTGGAGGGTAGCTTGGAGACCCCAGCCCCCCAGTCTTCACTACTGGACACGGACGGGGAGGGAAGCAGGGAGCCACGAGGAGGCCACAGGGTCAGAGAAGCAAAAGCCAGCAGGACACAGAGGGCACACACACCACACAAGCCAACTTGGGGGTCGGGGACGTGACGGGGCGGGGGGGGCGGGCGGTGGCCCTCAGGCTCCCCCAGCCCTGTAGGCCCGAGACCGGCCCCCCAAACCCAGCTCTGCTCCCACCCACCCTGCCATCAGTGAGACCCCCAAAGTGTTGTGACTGTCATTCCAGTGACCCCGCGGATGGGGTCAGGGCCTTCCTGCTCGGGTCGGCACAGGACAGGGGAGCCGGGAGGCCGGGAGCCCGGGGATGGGACAGGTGGGACGGTGGGTCCCTGCCTCTGCCTGGCGGAGTTCCCTACCTCGCACGTAGAGGTTGGCGGGTGAGGAGTAGCGCACACCGGCGCTGTTGGTGGCCACACACTCGTACTTGCCCTGGTCTGTCTCCTCGCTGCTCTCGATCTGCAGGGCACCTGCGGGGACAGGGACGGGACCGTGGCCATGACTGACACCACTGGGTCAGGGCTGGGCCCAACGAGCACCCCCTGGTGCCACAGTTGTACTGCCCACCGACGAAGGGGCTCCACGGGGCACAGCATCGTGGGGTGCCGCTCCCAGGGTCATGGGGAGGAAACAGAGGCCACCCCAGCCTCCTGTGGGCCAACAGGCCACCCAGACTGGCATGTGGTGGCAGCGGGCCCAGGTTTCCCCTCAAGGGCAGCTGCCGGGCAGCGGAAAGGAACAGTCCTCCCTCGGGGCCGAGGGTGACAGTTGCTGGGTGAAGCACTGGGGTCCCACGCATAGCGGCGTGGGTCAGATCTCAAGTCTGAAGCCCCGCGTAGGGCGGAGAGACCTCGATAGGCCCAGCCTCCTCACTCCAGGGCCTGGGGCCCAGGGCGACCCACATCTGAGGTCCCAGCCCTCTGAGCCAGGTGCATGCCCAAGGCAGAAGATCAGCCTGCTCCTCAGGCCAGCCTGGGCTACGGAAGACCTCGTTCCAAGTCCAACAAACACGGAACTCAAACAACACGGAGGACCCAAAGAGGGAGCTGTGGTCACCTGCACCCACAGGGCCCTGGAGGAGGCCACGCTCCCCTCAAGGACATCTCAAACAAGCTAAAGCCAGGTTCTCCCCCTCACAGCAGACAGGGACATTTGGAATCTCAGCCTCGGTGAAACAGTTTAACTTTTACAAACTAAAAACAGAAAGTGAGGTGGAGGCAGCCACGCCTGCCACAAAGGCCTGCCTCACCATGCTTGATTTACGGCAGAGCAAAGGCAAGAGAGTCTGGCTCAGTATGTCGGATCCCAGCTCCTACTGAGCCTGCATCCCAGCTCCTCCTGAGATCCATGCAGCAAAAGACACGTGCAGGAACCCTGGGCTTCCAAGCCCTGCTGCTCCAGACTTGCTGTTCACATTCTCTGGTTTTGTTAACAGCTGTACCCCAGTAGTAACGGGGACCAGAGACACCCATGTCCTCTCTCTTGGGTGGTGGTGGATGATGGCCACCATACAACGCTTCCTACCGACTTCAAGGCTACTGCAGAGACCAGAGAGGGTAGGAAACCTATTTGAGGCAGCACAGTATATCAGCACTGGGTCTGTGTTCATGTGCCCTGGGGAAGCGGGGTATCAGACCCATCTTTGGAGAATTCCTTTCTCTGATCCCTCCAGTCTGATCACCCCTAAATCTCAGAAGGCCCTTTTGCAATTCATGGCAGATGGCTGTGCGTGGACTCTGCAGGCACAGGGGTTCAGGTGGACCCCGGAGACAGCACCTGTCCCTGCAGCTGGGTGCCCACACGGTCCCCTGCAGCCACACTCAGCCCAAACCACAGACAGACACAAACACCAGAGGGATGTGGGGGGAGCCGTGTGGCGGGTGGGGGCTAGTGAGATCTGAGGGCTGGCTGGTGAGGGGCAGACCTCTTACCTCGGATGGGGGTGCTTTCTGCAAGGGAAACAGAGAGAGACAGGTGAATGCCACAGGAGAGGGGCCGCGGGGCCAGGAGCCGCCCCTGTCCCTCTGCCGGGCAGTGCGGCAGCAGCCAGCTCCTGAGGGCTCCCGGCTGGGGCTGTGGGACTTCGGGGCGGGTGCTTCCTGCAGGCGGCCTCCCAAGGTCTGGGTGCGTCCCCAGGGAGACTGCGCCTCTTCCCTCAAGTAACTTTGGGGGTTCCAGCAAGGGGTTGCTTTGAAATCCAAATGGGGAGGGGTGGGTAGCGGCAGGATCCCAGGAGTCTTGTTAGTGACCAGGGAGGGACAGGAGTTAGCACTAGAGCGCCGGGCACGGTGCCGTGGGGACAGGTGTCACCAAGGCTGAGAGGGAGATGTGGGAAGGGAGCAGAGGGTGGGGGGAGCCCGTGGCCTCTTTCGATCCCGAAGGAAAAGAGGAAAAAGCCGTCTGTGGGTCGGCCACACCCAGGGAGGAGGAGGTTCCAGGCTGGAGTGCCCACGCGGCCTCTAATGCTGCTCCTTTCCCGGGGCCAAAGCCAAGCAGGGCCAGCAGCCTCTTGGCAGAAGGCATCAGGGCTTGGACACCATGTCTCACACCTTCTGAGCTGTGGACATGCACCCCGCACCCTCCCTGATCTGTGTGCTTGCTACCCCCTTCATATCCCACACAGGGTCTGTGCAGCCCTGGCTGGCCTGGAACTCACTCTGTAGACCAGACTGGCCTCTGACTCACTGCAATCCTCCTGCCTCTGCCTCCTGAGCGCTGGGGTTAAAGGCGCGTAACCATGATGCCCCATAGAGACAGAGGCCTCCCCACCTTCTGTCAGTGGGAGTCAATGGGAACCTGTCAGCGGTGTGGTGGGAGTCAGGAACGGCCACATGGGGTTCTAACTTTGCGTGGACCACAGTGGCCGAGGTCCAGAGCACTGCTGACACTGTGATCCCACAGGGAAAAGGAACCGTTTCCTTTCCACTTTCACTGAGATGGTTCTGGGTATCAGCTGGTACCAGTCACTGTAACTTTAGCAAGAACTGGCCTGGCAGCTGGTGTCAGAATGAACGCTCCAGGTAGACACAGCATCTTCAGCAGTAAAGCCCACTCCACCCGCTGGGAGCGGGGGCTCCTGAGGTGCGAGGTCCCCCAGCCTGGGGGCCGGTGGCGTTTTTCCTCTTTTCCTTATGGGTGGGGTCTGTCTTCAGCCCGCCATGGGGGGCAGGAGAGGGCGTTAGTACACATGCCACACGCAGTGGGTCAGTTACTGTCACGGTGGCTGTTAGTGTGGGGCAGAGGGGTGGCAGGACCGTTAGAGGTTGGCGTGGCAGAGAGGTGAGGACTTACCAAAGCTTTCTGAGCGTTACAGAGAGAAGGAGAAGAGAGAAGAAGGTCACAGGGCGGCCACTGGGCATCTGCTCATGGGCACAAGGGAGGAGGGACCACAGGGCGTGGACGGCTCCCAGGGTGGTGTGTTCACACAATGCTTAGTTGTCGCCCCTGGACCGTGGCCACGGGGTGGTCGGGGGACACCTGAGAGGACCAGGGCTCCCCGAGCTGTGAGCAGATCACTGTGGCTGCCAATGGGCAGCCATCTCGGGGACTTCGGGGCGGGAGGGCGGAGTGGCCCTCCCGAGGACGAGGGGCGACCTTGCTAGGGAGGTGCTGGGGGGAGTCGAGGGAGAATGTGAAGAGGTTGGCGTGGGGTGCTGGGGAGACCAAGAGATACAGGGGTCACAGGCGACACTCGGGCCAGCGGATGCTCGTGTGCGGAGGGCCCAGTCCCTGTCCTTTGCCCACACACGGGAGGCAGGGTGAGCCACTCAGGGAGCCACACGCACACAGACAGACAAGTGACAGGGAGCACCGTGCCCCAGACGGACACACAGACTGGTCAATGGGCCAAGTGGGGTCTCTGCAGGAACATCACCATGAACCACCCAGCCTCACCAGTCCAGGCTGGCCTCCATCCCAGGCCTCCCCAGCTGAATCCGTGACAGACACTCGTCTACCCTGCTTGGTTCTGACGCCCTCAGCACCACGGACACCCAGGAGCCTCTGGGGTCCTCCATCTCCTCTGGTGCTGCAAACCCTTGGTCACCACCATACCCAGCTGCCCTGGCGCCCTGCACCTGACTGTTCTGCCCCCCCCCATGGCTCCCCACTACCTTGACTGATCACATCCTACCTGCCTTCACGGCCAGTGCCCTGCAGTCACCCACTGGCTACTGCTGCCCTCACCCACAGTGCACACTGCCGGGTTCCAGAGCCCTGCACCACCCGGGCCTCTGCGGCGCCCTGCGGTTTGAGTGCTGGGCCTGAGCTCTGCTCCTAGCCAGCTCCGTGTGCACCACGTCCCATCCTCGGGTCACGGCCACCCATGCCGCGTACCAGCCCATCCCCACCAGGCCCCAGGTGTGGGCCCTCTGCTACCCGATGGCACTCGCATCCCGTCGGCCACCTGTGCCCACCTGATCGAAGCTGCTTGATGCGCCCATTACTGGCACTGGGGTCGACAGGCAGGAAGTCCTTGAACCAGGTGATCTCGGGGTCAGGGTTCCCGCTGGCGGCACAGAGCATGGTGGCTGTGCGTGTACGCTCCACGACCTTCAGCTGGGGGCCCATGTCGATGTTGGGGAAGCCGGGGGGCAGCTGGTCCTCTGGGGGTGTGAAGACGGGGAGGACAGGAGTCTGGTTATTGTGGGAAACGCCCTAAGGATGGGCCCTGGGTGGCCGCAGTCCAAGCCGCCACCCTCCCGCCACCCCCTCTGGCTTACGCCCCGAGACCTCCATGGCTGCTGTGGGTAGAGCTGGAGGATCATGGGCTCGACTGATGTCCAGCACAGAGGGCTCTCCATCACCTGCTACAGCTCCCTATTACCTGGGCTACCCTGGGCTAACACTGCCCTGGGACGGTTAGGGATAGGGACACTGGGTGTCATGTAGCATCCCAGCTGGAGCAGGCGTCACCCTTCCCCGGGGCCTCCTACTCCTGCAGTCCCCTCCTCCCAACTCAACCCCACACCTGCCTCCGTCCAAACATCCCCTGGACTTGTTCTAGATCCTTCCAGAACTTCTCAGAACCCAAACGTCCCCTCCAGAATGTCAAACCCAGTTTACTGGGACCTGACCACGTCACTGCAGAATCCTAGTCCGACACCCCGTCATCCAGGACGGACAGGAAAGAACAGCCTGGGCCACTGACCCTGGCGATGGCAGGTGGAAATGAGACACCGCAGGGGCCCGTGCCGCACATGGACAACAGGACACCAGAGCCAGCACGGGGGCCGCCAGACACGTCCCTAACTGGGCCAGCCTGGGCTACAGGGTGAGTCCCAGGAAAGGCGCAAAACAACACAGAGAAACCCTGTCTTGAAAAACCAAAAAAAGAAAAAAGAAAAAAAGAAAAGAAAAGAAAAAGAAAAAGATGGGATAAACCAAGGACCAAGAACTTGGGGCACCGTCTGCTGTGTTAAGAGTGTGACGGGCACAGCCTCTCGCACAGGCGGCCCTGTCATGGGTGGCACGTCCCTGGCCGTGACACCAAAACTGGTGTCTGCAATGGGAGGCGCTTGGCTTGTGGTTGAAAGTGTTTGGAGGGGAGCCTGGGTTCTCAGGAGCACTCGGGGTGCTGTGGATGGAGGGGAGCGTAATGGTCACAACCTTGGGATGGTGGCACCATGAAGGCGGCAGGGGACAGAAGTGAACAAGAAGCCACTGTCCCGGTAGGGAACACAACCCAAGGTGTAGCAGGCTCCAGACAGCCCTGAAGGGTTCTGTGCGTGTGTGCGTGTGTGCGTGTGCGTGCGTGTGTGTGTGTGTGCGTGTGTGCACTGCAGCAGCCAGCTGGGGACAGAGCTGGGGAGGGCCCACTTCTCGGTGTCCCCACACGCCACACCCTGGGTCATCATTAGATGGAGGGGAAGGAGGGAGGGAGGGAGGCAGGCGCAATGGCTTTGGCTCCAGCAGCCCACAGGGGGCAGGAGGCATAGCTTGGCTTGTGAGGGCCGGGGAGAGAGGGGGAGGGCGTCTGTCCTGGGGCCTCCTGAGTGTGTGTGGGAAGTAGGCAATGGTCAAAGAACAAAGGGAGGTGGCCAGGGTGTCTGGGGCTTGAGGGGGCTGGAGAGTCTTTCCAGACTCCCAGTGATCTGTGCGTGATGGCTGCAGTGAGTCCCAACTCTGGGAGTGTCGACAATGGAGCTGGCAGGGGCAGCAGGAGGCTGGCTGCCCAGTCTGTGCCGGGAAAGGTCAAGGCGAAAAATATCCCAAAGAGAGAAGGGAGAGGAGGGGCCTGGGGGGTGTGGACTCTGCCCAGCTCCGCCCCTGCCCGCAGAGCGCACTGTGGGGCCCCTTGTTAGAAGTGACGGAATCCCCCGATAGCACAGGGCCCTGGGGTGGCTCAGGGCTCTCACCAATGTGACTGGCCCTGCGTCCCGGCTTCACAAGAGAGCCCCTGGGGACCTGCAATGCCCCTGGGCAGACGCTCATGGCCACAATGCAATGTCCCTAAGGGACAGACACCCCAGTTCTGACAGGTTCGTTAACCCGGCCCGGGTTACACAGATCCAAAGCGGCTGCCTTGGATTCTGAACCGTTGTCTGGTGCCAGTGTTAAAGGGACATCTCAGTGTCCCTTAGAAAGAGCCAGGGCACAGGGTGTCGGGGCTCAGGCTGTTGGGCTTGTTCCATCCTGCCTTTGGGGGGCCCACCCTTTGCCACGTTCTTCTGTGGGGGCTGGCCCACTGGTGGCTCCAGTGGATGTGAGACCAACCATGGCTATCTGCTTCTGAGTGGCAGGGCAGTTGTGACCCAAGCTACCTGGGGACAGAGGGTCACAGGAGACACAGGGACAGACACTAGACAGCACTAACTGAGCACCTAGATCAAGCAGAGCCTGAAACCCACCAAGTGCAAACATTTAAACCACACAAACCACAGGGGTGGGCCGTGTTGGGGGCGGACAAACCCAAGTCCTTAAAGAACTAAGCAACGGGCAACGAGGAGGGTTCCAGGCTCGGGGACTGTGCGCCCGGGGGCCAGTACCTCGGAGGACGGTCAGCTTCGCATGAACAGTGATTTCTCCCACCGAGTTCTGGGCCACGCACTCATACACGTTCTCATCCCGGGGCGTCCGCAGCGGCTGGATCCTCAGCACCGCCCCAGAGCTCTCGTCAAAGTCAATGGTCTGCGGGGAGGGAGGGTCGGGACGTGGGACGGCGACACACAAGGGGGGGGGGGGGCACACAACGGGGGACAGGTGAGCAGTGAGGCGGGCCCAGGGCGGGTTCCAGCAGGACTGGGCTGCTGGGGTGGGGACAGTAGCCGCCTCAGACACATGGTACCCATCAGCGCTGGGTGTCACGTGTGTGCTGGGGGGACACGCGAGTCCCTGGGCACATAAGACACCACCCAGGATCAGTCACAGTTAAAGAAGAGGAGCCAGGAGATGCCTACAGGACCACGCCAAACACCTGGATGGAGCCGAGCCTGAAGCCCACACCGATCACAGGGCGTGGTCACGTGGTCACGTGGTCACGTGGTCACGTGTGCTCAGCTCTGTGAATTTTCCTCCCAGGTGGGGGTGTGAGTTTAGACTCAGAAAAGGCAAGGCCTTGCTCGAGGACACACAGCATGGAGTGGTGGACCAGGGAACCCTGTGGTGTGGGGAGTGCAGGATGGGAGCTGTGGCCGCCTTGTGGCACCCCCACCCCAGCCCCAGCTCACCTCAAAGCGCTGGGAGTTCACTTTCTTGCCCTTCTTGTTCCAGGTCACCCGTGGCTTGGGATCGCCTGTGGCCTGGCATACGAAGGAGGCCACGCCTCCCGACACACCGATCTGGTCCTTGGGCTCTTTGATAAACCTGGGTGGCTCTGGAGGTTCAGAAGAGGGGAGCTTTGAGGGCTCAGGGACTCCCACACGCACACACATGCACACACGGCCCTTCGAAGACCCGAGGGTCACCTCAGTGATCATCTTTTACACCTGGACTCACCCTCAAAAGAAACAAAACGTCCCCTAATTCTTTAATGGGACTCGTGAGAAACTAAGGCACTGGCGGGGGCCACCAGGCCCGCCCACTCCAGGTCACGCGCCTGGGCAAGCCCATGCTCACATAGTAATTAATATGTAAACGATAACCAAAAAGAAATGTAAAAGATGAGCAGAGTCAGGATTAGAACCCAGGGCCCCAGAGAGTGGCGTGAGGCGGGGCACAGGCCTGGGGAGGGGCCCCAAGCGGACCCACCCACCACCCACTCCCCAGGCCTGTGTTGCCCTGATGCCCGTCCGGGGATCTGAGGCAGGAAGACGCTCTGCCAGGCTTCCCTTTCACTGGCTGTTTGGTAGCAGCCCGGCGTCGCCCAGGCCTGGATACAGTGCATCAATCAGAGCTGAGCTGCAAACCTCCTCCCCCAAGTCCCCAGCGCAAAGCTGGGGACACGACATAGGCACCCAACAAAAGGGGAACTGGGAAAGGCGTTCCGAGTGCGCCAGGACTGGGTAGAGGGGGTCCACTGGCTCTCGGGGCCCACTGGCTCTCGGGGCCCACTGAGCCATCAACAGGAAGGGCTGCCACGTGGACTGAGCGGCCTCCTCTCCCCCCACAAGAGGCAGTGTCCAGGCTGCTGCGTGTGACCCCCTGCTACAGATTTAGGGGTACTAATGGGTTTCCACAAGGATCTCCAGAGAACTCAGAAATAACAGCCCAGGTCTCTGCTTCCCCTTGGCCCCCGTCAGGTCTGGTCCAAGCCCTGAGATGGGGCCTGTCCTCCGATGCCCACAGGAATGACCTGGGGTCACATGTCTTTATCCAAGGCATGGGGAGAGTCACCCCAGCTGGGCTGGACCGCCCTGCTCAGAGGTGGACACATCCCACACGTCCTCCAATCCAGCCAGCCCTGTGGAACTGTTCCCTCCTATGGACCCCTTTTGGTGAGCCCAGGTCCCCATAGTGCCTCTCTCTCTTTCTGTGACCCCTAAGGTGACCTCTAAGAACGTGCGTCCCTGCCCTTCTGCCTTCTGACCCCTGGTGCCCAGTGGACGTCCGTCAGTCCGTCTGGCTCTGGGCGCTGAGCCAACCCTGCAGAGGCTGCTCCACCCGCTGCGGTAGACAGGATCTTGTGGGTTCATGCCATCTCTGCTCGTGTTTTCCAAAAAGGAAAACCCCCTTGGGCCTGTGAGGGCAGATCCACAGCTCTGAGGGACTGAGTCCCCTCGGCACAGGGCCTGGATGGGCTCACGGCGATCCTCACCCTCATTTGTGCAGAGGCCCAGAGGGGCACCAACCTTCCCGGCCCCCAGCTCATGCTGGGCAGAGCAAGGGTCTAACCCAGCCCCACAGGACTCCACGTCTGAGACAGCAACTCCTATATAAAGGGGGCCATGCTCCCCAGCCCCATCACCAGAAGGGACTGAGGTCCACACAGGAGGTCGGACATTATAGAGACTCAGCTTTTCTATTTCTGCCTATGTGAGAATCGGGGCTTGGGACAGGACATCTGCCCTAGATCCACCCCCACCCCCCACCCGCCAGCCTGGGACAGTCCCCTGGACCCAGAGCCACGTCTCTATCAGAAATGACCATCTGAGCCCACTGAATACTTCAGCGCCGGCCCCGGTGCCTGTGACCATCCAGGCTCAAGGTGAAGGGCCTCCAGCTGGACAGACCCTTGTTCCGGGCTCGAATAGCGCAGCCTCGGAGACCAGACCTGGCTTGCACTTTCACACACCGGCCACAGAACATCACCCACGCCCAGGCTGGTCCTCCTGTCCAGGAGCGCCGCCTTCCTCACACCTCCGGGACCAGCTGTCTGGGTCCCCAGTGCCCCGTCCTCTACAACTGCCTCACCGCTCTGCCCCCCCCTTCCTCCGAGGAGAGTGGTCTGGCCTGCCCTTACCCTCCAAGGTCACCTGGGTAGGGGTCTCCTACATGATGATGGATCCTGGTGTCGAGTCCACACTGAGGCCCTGCATACGTCTTCACAATAACTAAAATGAGATGCTGACTGTGTCTAACGTACACCAGTACTCTCAAAGACTTATTTGTGTGTGCACACGCAGCGCCCTTGGAAGCCAGAAGGGTGCATCAGATCCCCTGGAATGGGAGTCACAGATGGTTGTGAGCTGCCAGAGAATTGAACTGGGGTCCTCTGGAAGAGCAGCTGGTGCTCTAACCGCTGAGCTATCTCTCCAGACCCTTTTGGTTATGTTTGTTTTTTTTTTTAAGACAAGGTCTCACTAATCAGCCAGGGCTGACTGACCTCAAACTCAGAGATCCACCTGCCTCTACCTCTCTCCTAAATTCTGGGATTAAAGGCCTGTGCCACCATTCCAGACCATCAACATTTTTTATTTCCAGACTTTTCCATGGTCAGTCAACTCCACCAAGAGTGTCATCAGACTCTTACATGCCTCCAAAACCCTGGCCCCCGTGCCCTCTCTCCCTGACCTGACACTGAGCCACCCACTGAGGGTCACTACCACCTCTGCTGTAGAAGGCCCTTCACACATCCAGGCACCAGGCCTCTTCCTCCAGCACGGAGGCTCTGTTTGGGCTTCGTCGGGAAGTCCTGGGCTGGGAGCTGCAGGCACACACAGCCTGGAACAGACGACACACAGCCTGGAACAGACACACAGCCTGGAACAGACACACAGCCTGGAACAGACAGAGCCGGGTCCACCCACTCCAGCCTCTTACCTTCCGCGGTGCATCCTCTGGCCAGCAGTATGAGGAAGAGCCCCACGGGACCCACCACAGACGCCACACTGGGACTCCAGGTGGGCGCCATGCTTGGCAGTGGCCTGCGGCCTCCGCCCTGGCGGGGGACGGCGCCCCACCCCCCGTCCCTCACGGAGAGGCTTCAAGCGGAGGTGTCCAGAGGGGCAGCGTCTGTGGAGACAGCAGAGCGGCAGTGAGTGTGGAGCAGGAACCCAGGGATGCCCGGCAGGTGGCTCTGGGAGAGGAACCCACACCCAGGGACCCACGCGTGGGGTCTGGATGGGATCACTGCCCTGTCCTGGGTGGGCACACAATTCTAGACAGCATCTCCTGTAGCCCAGGCTGGCCTCCAACTTGCTGTGCAGCCAATGACCTTGAACTCCCGACCCTTCCACCTCCAGCTTCCCAGTCCCCTGGTGCTGGGGTGGAAGCCAGGGCCCTGTGGGCACTTCCACCCACACACTGAGCCCCACCCACCAATGGACCTGCCAAGCTTGGACCTTGACCTTCTGGCTTCTAGTGTGGGCTGTCTCCAACCCCCCCCCCATCTCTACACGCCCCTGCCCTGCCCAGCCTCTGCTCCTAGGGCCCCCAGGGCAGCTGATGCTGCCTCTCCACCGGGGGAGTCCCATTTCATCAAGCCAGTCCACTGTCCAGTCCGGAAATGACAGATTTACCCAGCATCCCACACGGCGGCCAGTCTCCAGCTCACCCACCTATAAAGACCTATGTTCTCGGGTACAGCATCCCTCCGGCACACCTCGAACCCAAGACCAGCTGCTCTCCCATGTCCTGAAGTTCACACTTGGCCTCAAGCTAAGGCAGTGGGGCAGAAAGGCCAAGGAGAGGCCAGATAGTGTGACCACCACACCCCAGGAAGGTCCAGGCTGTGGCCTTGGGAGGAGAGAGGCACATAATGACGGGGTGGCCCTGTGATTGTGTCTCCCAAAATACCCAGCTGTGGTTGCCTCACCCATCTCCAGGAGAGGGCAGGGCCTGCAGTGGCCAGTTCACGGCCTAGTGCAAGCCAGGATGGATGGGAGAGGGCAAGAGGAGCTAGCTACACACACAGTCAGACCACAGTCACACAGACATACACACGGCCAGTCGGACAGTAGCTACACACACAGTCAGACCACAGTCACACAGACATACACACGGCCAGTCGGACAGCAGACACACTTAGGCACACAGTCAGATGACAGGCGGACCTGGGCATAGTCAGGCTGTGGACACACAGAGACATCAGACCCTGACATTCACTTAGTCAGGCTGCCAAGATGAGGATGCCCTCGCTTCCACATCCAGTCCGATTCTGCAGTCAGACCACAAGGCTAATATGCAGAGGTCCCTGGGAGCAGGGCCAGGACCTCAGTGGGCTGCACAAAGTAGGGCCCCACCTATGAGACACAAGGTCAGGGTCAGTACCCCCTTCAAGGGTGCTGGGATGAGGCTTGCTGGGTGTCCTCCACCAGGCCCTTCTCACCAAACAGCCCTCAGAGCTATGCCCCTGCCCCATGGGGGCAGCAGTCCAGCCCCAGGTCCACACGGTCAGACTGCACACAACACCCACGGACTCAATCTACTGGCAACCAGGTGGACAGACAAAGCCCCAGACACTCAGGAAGGAGAGCCATGCCAGCCAGCGACCGGCTGCCCATGCCAGCCCAACCCAAGGCGCCTGTGCTTGGCTACAGCGAGGACAAGGGCAGGCAGGCCCAGGCCACCCGGACAAGCCCTGGGAGAACCTCTGGGGAAACTGAGGAAGCAGCCAAGCTCAAATCCCGGGAGGCCCCAAGGTTAACACCCCAGATGGGGCATGTATAGGGGATGTTCCCCAAGGCGGCACTACTCTGGCCTCTCGGGGTCCCAGCTTTGTGCCACATGGGGACACAGGCTGGAGGGGACGGGAGGGCGCCCCTACATCCACCCTGAGACCTGATGGGATGTGGGGTGGAGGCAGAGAAGAGCAACTGAGCGAAGTCCCCACACCATCCCCACGCATATTGAAAGTTCTAGGGGTGTCACACCTCATTCCCTCTTTGAAGGCTTTCGGGGGGGGAGGACACTGTGTCACCCCAAGTTGGTCCACCGTGTCCCAGGGCCTTTGTGCACAGCTGGATGTAGATCCATCATTATCAGCTGGGGAAACTGAGGTCCTGGCCACCCATTTAGCCATTAGTCAAGGACTTCACTGCTCTCAAAAGCTGGCTAGAGGCAGTCCCACCTGCTTTACAGAAGGGGAAACTGAGGCCCAGGGAGGCATTAGAGCTCTCCCAGGCTGCCTCAGCTGGGGTGTGAGCTTGGGAGGAGTCTGGACTGAGTCTTGCCAGCCAGCCAGCTCTGGGGCTCCCATACCGCACCTCAGGGAAAGAGCAGGCACCAGGCTGCAGGTCACGCGGGCCTGGAGCCGACTTTGTGTGCCCACGCGGCCCGGGAGCATAAAAGGGTGATTATAACCCAGGCTGGGTAACACACAGGCTCTGGGTCACCCGCACAAGGGGCGTCTCCTGGAGCCTAGACATGCCTCTCCCAGCCCTGGGGAACACAGGAAGCTGGAGCCCCCGACAGTCCCATGACTCTCAAGCCCCTTCCCTGGGTGGCCCTGGAAGGGAACTCAGGGATACCAGGGTGTGGGGGCGTGTCCCCCCATCATTGGGGTGTCAGCCAAGAGGGATGTGCAGTGGAACCCGCTAGTCAACTAGTCCCTCAGGCCTGTCCCCCCCTCCCCTGCCCAGAAGCCGCTCTAATTACCAGGGATCCACTGAGGAGTGGACATGAAGGCCAGGAATGGGTGGGAGCCGGCTGAGCTCCAAGCCCCACCCCAGAGAACAGCCCATCACACCTACCGGTCAAGGAAACTGAGGCTGAGGACGGGGTTGCTGTCCCCAAAGGGCTGGGCTGGAGGAGCCGACCGTCCCTGGCTGCTGAGGAAGGTCCTCCCGGCTGCGGGCTTGGCCCTCAGGGGCCTTCACCCATCCCGCAGTTTCTCCATACTACCCATGATTCAGAGCCTCTACCAGATGCCCCCTCCTCAGATACGGCCCCAACGACACATCCTTCAAGCCTCAAGACAACCCGCTCCCCGTCAGGGCTGGGTCTCAGTTCCTCTCCAGAACCCTCCGTGGCTCCCATCTACATCCACCACGACCACAGTCCGTCCTGCTGTCCATGCTGTCCCCTGCAAACTGCACGTCCTTCCCAGTCCGCATCAAAGCCCAGCCCGCAGCCCTCCGGGTCGCCAACCTGGACACCCCAGGTGGAATCTCAAAAACACTGTCCCAAATACGCTTTCCCAGCCCCGCCCCCACTCCTCCCCGGCAAGGACTAAAACCAAAGTCGCAGCACACACATCGACGCCTACTGCATACCCGAACCTCGCTGGACGCTTTATCCAAGGCACCCCTTTGCTCTAGAAGGGGAAACTGAGGGTGCAGAGCGGAGCTCTGCGGGCAGGAGACAGAGATGCCAGTCTGCTGAAGACCTGGGGGCAGGAGGGGCCCAGGAGTGAAGTCGTGGGGTGCACGGTGGGCGTGGCCGGGGCCCCTTGGAGTCTCAGGACCCTCAAGGTGCACAAGGGTGCAGGCAGCCCTGGGGCGCGGCGGCGAGCGGGAAAGTTTCTGTGCGCCGTGCGCCCCTCCCCCTCCTGATCCCTCCACGGTCCCCGGGCTCCGCCCCCAGGTGGGGGAGGGGACCGCGGAGCATAACGGTCCCGAGCTCAGCCAAGAGAGGGGTGCGGGCCGGGTGCGCGCGCGGGGCCGAGGGCACCCGAGCCGCTCCGATCGCGGCCGAGCGTCCCCGATCGCGGCCGAGCGTTCCCGAAGTCGGGCGCGCAGGGACGCCGGGGTCCCCAGGCTCTGTGGGGGAGTCCAGGACGGTGACAAAGACCGGGCGGGGGACACGACCTGCCCGAGCGACTCACCGCGGCTGCGAGGTCCTGGCTGCGCCGCTCGCTGCGCCGTCCGTCCGTCCGCGCGTCCGTCAGCGCTGGCACAGCGCAGCGCGGAGACTTGGCGCAGGCAGCGGAGCAGTGGTCGGACCGGGGGCGGAGCCTGGCCTGCGGGGGCGCGGCCCGGAGATTCCGAGGAGAGGGGGCAGGAGGCGGGGCTTCCGAGGAGACAGGGCTAGGGGGCGGGGCCTCACAGTGGCAGACCGAGGGCAGATTCAGGAGGAAGGGGGAGCTTTGGGGCGGGGCTTCTGAGGAGGCTGGCCGGGGGCGGGGCTTCTTGGAGGAAGGCCGGGGGCGGAGCTCCCGAGGAAGGCTAATCGGGGGCGGAGCTTCGCTGTGGCAGGCTGAGAGCAAAGGCAGGAGGGAAGGGCCGGGGCGGGGCTTTCTGGTGAGCGTCTGGGGGCGGGGCTTAGGAGACCCCAAGGCCTCCCAGGGGCGGAGATTCCGATGGCGTTGGGGGCGTGATTTCTCCCGGACTAGGGGCGTGGACGGTAGGGCCCTATGGGGCGGGGCTTTCGGTGGGCGTGGCTTCCTGCCACAAAGCCGGGTTGGAGGCGTGGCTCCCGGAGGCCTGGCTCCGCTATAGCACACGCCCGGGCTCCTGAGGGCCTGGGGGTGGGGTGGGGGACAGGGGGCGGGACCCGGCCAGAAGTGAGGCAGAATGACCCGTGAGTCTCAGCGGGGGGATGGCCTCCACTGACACCCCAGACCCGCTTCACAGCCGCACCGTCGGCATAGCAACAGATGCAGCCCGGGCCAGAGGTGGTCCAGGAGCCCCAAGCCAGCCCAGACCTCTGGTCCCCGCACCCTGGCTTCCCCTGGGATCTTAGGGGCCGTAACGTGGGGACCTGGTGGCCACGGCTCCCGCCCAACCGCGGGCCAGATTGGAAACAGATGCTGCTTCCCACACCCTCCGCGCGCAGCCTATCTGGCTTCAGATCTGGCGGAGGCTTGGGGGCCGCGCAGGGGACTCGGTGCTCTCACCCCTCCCCCGGGTCCCAAAGAGCAGGACGACCCACACACAACCGGACGGCTCACCACGAGCTTAAGGGCCCTCTGATACATCTGGGACACGGCAAGGCTGGAGTCCCCTGCCACCCAGTTGGTATAGGACACAGTGACCTGTAGACGACAACCCCGGGCCAGATGCCTGCCCCATCGGCCATACAGCAAGTGTGAAGCCAGCCTGTCTCCAAAATCAACAAAATGCCTGCCTGGCCGG